TACTTGGGAGGCTGAGACAGGAGACTCGCTTGAGCCCAGGAGTTGGAGGTTGCTGTGAGCAGTGAAGCCATGGCACTCTACCCAGGGGGGACAGCATGAGGCTCTGTCTCAAAAAAACAAAACAAAACTGTGACTATTGGCCACCCGCCACAACACCTGGCTAATTTTTCTATTTTTAGTAGAGAGAGGTCTCGCTTTTGCTCAAGCTGGTCTGAAAACCCTGAGCTCAAGCAGTCCACCTGCCTCTGCCTTCCAGAGTGCTGGGATTACAGGTGTGCGCGACTGCGCCCAATCTAACTTGAGTATTTCTGTAAAGACCTTCCAAAAGTTGGGTTCTGAGGTCCTGAGGGTTAGGACTGTGTATCTTTTGGGGAGGGTTACAAGTCAGCCTATAAGTGTTCAAAACTTGCCTTCCTCAATCTTTTCCAAGGAGTAGAACATTTTCTCAAACACTTCAGCCCCCAGGGATGCATAGCGGCTCCTCGCCCCACCGCCTCAGGTGCGCCGCGTGGTTGGCTGTTCACCAGCAGGTGTGTCGCCACAGTCCGCCGGCCGGCAGGGGGCACGGGAGCCCGCCTCGGGCAACCAGCGGCCCGATTGTCAACCGGAAGTACCGTCTCGCGCCCCGGAACGAGTTTGAAGAAGTGGCAGCTGAGGTTGAGACGAAACTACCTGGTCTGAACGTGTCCTTGCATTTCCGCGATCGCCCCGCTGGCCCTAAGCCCCACGTCCTACCTGTGCCGCACCAAGTCGGCGTATTCCGAAGACTGGATGACAGACATAGGTGCCCGGGAGGTTCAGGCGGTGGACACCGAGCTCACCGCCGACTCGGTGGAGTGGTGCCCACTGGACGGCCACAGGCACCTGCTGGCGTGCGGCACCTACCAGTTGCGGGAGCCGGAAGTGGGGGCCGGCGCCCGGAGCCAGGTGCGCGGCTCTCGGTCGAGCTGTGCCCCGGGGAAGTAGAGCGGGCGCACACGGGGAGCCCTCTTTGGTTCGTGGTGGTGGAGAGGACAGAGTCCCGCGTATAGAATCGCCCGGCGGGGAAGAAGGGACGTTGGCTTTATGATCGGGACGTAGGTTAGAAACTACTGAGAGCAGAACGTTCTCTGTATACAGGTGTGGCTCAAGTTTATGGATAAAATCTATGTACTAGAGAGGAAATAGGATTTCTTAGGAATTATATCTAATCTCTGAATCCAAACTAGGGCTTTTTTTTTTTTTGAGACAGTCTCATTTTGTCGCCCTTAGTAGAAATGCTGTGGCATCACAGCTCACTGCAACGTCAAGCTCTTGGGCTCAAGCGTTTCTCTTTTCCTCAGTCTCCCAAGTAGCTGGGACTACAGGTGCCCACCACAACGCCCAGCTATTTTTTAGAGAAAGGGTCTCACTTTAGCTCAAGCTGGTCTTGAACTTGTGAGCTTGAGTAATCCACCTGCCTCAGGTTCCCAAATGCTGGGATTACAGGCATGAGCCACCACGCCTGGCCCCAAACGAGGACATTTTTAAAAGGGAGAACAGGTACTGGAACAACAGGCCTAAGTCAAGATTGTCCCTGACAAACTGAGTCACCCTTCTCACCCCAGCCTTCTCAGCTGGGTCTATGGTGCCTCATAGAAAGGCACTTCTCAACCGGGTGTGGTCACTTACGTTTGTAATCCCAGCGCTCTCTGAAGCTGAGGCGGGTGGATTACCTGAGCTCACAGGTGCGAGACCAGCCTGAGCAAGAGTGAGAACCAAAAACGTCCTGGTTTGGATCCAGAGATTAGATATAATTCCTAAGAAATCCTATTTTCTCTCTACTACACAGAGACCTTTAAAAATAGCCAGGCGTTGTGGCAGGCACCTGTAGTCCCAGCTACTTGGGAGGCTGAGGCAAGAGAATCACTTGAGCCCAAGATCTTGAAGTTGCTGTGAGCTGTGACGCCATAGCACTCTACTGAGGGTGAGAAAGTGAGACTCTGTCTTAAAAAAAAAAAAAAAAGGCACTTCTCCAGCTCAGAAAATCAGAGGTTCTACTTCCACTCTGGCAAACCTTTTTGTTCCCTGGATCTTTCTTTCTGTCCCTTGGGCTCCTCAGTATTTTAAGGTAATTAGAGAATACATCTGTATTTTTTTAGAGTGGACTGGACCTTGATGAACCTCAAATCCGTTTAGGTCGGCTCTACCTGTACAGTTTTAATGAGGACAACTCTGCTCACCCTCTGGTTGAGGTCCAAAGAAGAGATACTTCTGCAATCCTGGACATGAAATGGTACAACTTGGATAATCCCACTTGGTCTGGAATTTGTCATGAGTGTCTAGTTATTTAATCAGGGAAGGCTAATACCTAATATCCTCCAACAAGATAGCGAAATACCTGAACACTGAGTTTATTCCTTTACTTTCCTACCTACCTGTTGGCATTTGGGGAGTGCTTTACTTGGGATCATTTCCTTTTGTTATTTTCATAGCCTTAGAGTTAACATCAGTCTGGTAGGCAATGCACATTTTGATTTCATAAGCTGGAAGGTCTTTTGTTTAGGAACAAAATTGTACGTTCTAACCCAGTTTGGAGCTGAATTAATTATTTAATTTATTTATTAAGACAGCATCTGTGTTGCCCTGGGTAGAGTGTCATGGCATTATAGCTCATAGCAACTCAAACTCCTTTAGGAACAAAATTGTAGGTTCTAACTCAGTTTGGAGATTTATCTATTTATTTATTTAATAATTAAGATAGTCTCTGTTTCCCTGGATAGAGTGCCGTGGCATCATAGCTCAGAACAACTGCAAACTCCTGGGTTCAAGTAACCGTCGTGCCTCAGCCTCCTTAGTAAGCTGGGACTACAGGTGCCCTCCACAACACCCAGCTAGTTTTTCCTGTTTTTATTTATATATTTTTGAGATGGAGTCTCACTATGTTGCCTTGGGTAGAGTGCCATGGCATCACAGCCCACAGCAACCTCAAACTCTTGGGCTCAAGCAATTCTCTTGCCTCAGCCTCCCAAGTAGCTGGGACTCCAGGCGCCTGACATAATGCCTGGCTATTTTTTTGTTGTAGTTGTTGTTATTTGGCCGGCACAGGCGGGATTTGAACCCGCCAGCTCCAGTGTACGTGGCTGGCGCCCTAGTTCCTGAGCTATAGGTACCAAGCCGTTTTTCCTGTTTTTAGTAGAACAGGGTCTCACTCTTGCTCAGGCTGATCTTTTAACTCCTGAGCTCAGGCAATCCACCCACCTCAGCCTCCCAAGGGCTGGGATCACAAGTATGAGCCACCATGCCTGGCCTGGAGCTGAAATTTAAATGCAGTCATGTGCTGTATGATGTTTCAGTGATGGACCATATGTACAGTGGTCTCATACGATTATAATAGAGCTGCCCATGTAGGTGCACCTTTTAGAAAATCTTTTATACCACATCTTTATTATACATTTTTTATGTTTAGATATGTTTAGACACAAATACTTACCATGTATTACGTTTGCCCATAGTACTCAGCACAGTCATGTGCCATACAGGTGTATAGCCCAGGAGCAATAGGCCACACTACATACCTTAGGTATGTAATAGGCTGTACCACTTAGGTTTGTGTAAGTGTCCTCTACATTGCTCTCAAAATGACAAAATTGCCTACAGATGCTTTTCTTAGAGTGTATCCTTGTTGTGGAGCAGTGGGTGACTAATAAATCACTGGGGTGTATAATGCTCTTCTGTGCTTAGGTACATCTTGTGTTCTAATATGTAGATTCTCTCTTTAGGTGCCATATCCCAGTGGCTGGCCATGTCCTCTTGGGCTTAGCAAATGCCAGTGGATCCATAGAGCTATTCCACCTGGTGAGATCTGAGGTCAGTGACTGGGGCCAGGCTCTGTTGGGTGGTAGGGGCTTGATCTCTTTTCAATGGTTAGCTATACATAAGTATTTTAAAATAGAGTGTACTCTGTTTTGAATTGTATCTTTTTCTATATCTGACTTGAAGAAGAGCTTGTCTGGTGTCACCAGCAGAAGGTCTGGAGTGACAGGTGTTTACTTACATGTTAGTGAGCCTGAAAGTTCTCTAAGGAAAGCCTGATAAGCATGTCTTGGATTGATTGTGGAGCTGAGAATAGCAATGAATTTCCTATGAGAAAATGGTGTTTTGCCTTGGTTATTAGGAAAGCATAAGATTCCTCTGAATTTTTCAAGTGTCTATAGTAATCCTGTTCTATGCACTTAGAAAATGACTTCATCTGATTGTGGTGGAGTAGGGAAATGGGATGTCATGTGGTGGAGTGGTGTAAACAGCCCACGAGGCTGTGCCCCATTGCTGGGAGGGAGGGACACACGCTGGTGAGGGAGTGAGGGCCTGGGGCGTAGGTCCAGCTAGCCTTTGATTCATGGCTGCTGAGGGCCTGTGTAGAAGGGGTCTTGCTTCAGGCCAGTTCAGAGCAGCTGCCCTATGTAAGAAACAAGGGAAGGAGTTGTGTTAGAAAGACTGTGGGCCCAAGGACCAGGTTTCTAGGTGGGAGCACACAATGAAATTAAGCACTGGCGTGGTTGTTGGGGGTCATTGCATTTATGTACCTCTGAGAAAGAGAAATGACATTTGAATGGCTTCTGAAGTGATTGAGAATCAGAAGAAAGTCCTTATTTAACTGTCTCTGAGATGATGGTGTTGGATCCCTGGAGGCCAGGGCAGTGATGGGTGTCCAGGAGTGAGTGGATGTTAAAGGCAAGACCTCTACCTCGGGTGGTGCCTGTGGCTCGATGAGTAGGGCGCTGACCCCATATACCGAGGGTGGTGGGTTCGAAGCCAGCTCCAGCCAAACTGTAACAAAAAAATAGCTGGGCATTGGGCAGGTGCCTGTAGTCCCAGCTATTCAGGAGACTGAGGCAAGAGAATTGTCTAAGCCCAAGAGCTGGAGGTTGCCGTGAGCTGTGATACCATGGAACTCTACTGAGGGCGACAAAGTGAGTCTCTGTCTCTTAAAAAAAAAAAAAAAAAATAGACCTCTACTTCATGGTTATGTATGGGAAATACCTTCTCCAGGTGCTTGAACTCTGGTGTCCTCAAGTCCTTCTCAGCGTCTGGCATGTGGGGGTGGGTGGGTGGGGGGTGGTTTCAATGTTAGTTGAATGTGTGAATCAGTGACTGACATGCTGTGTTCACATAGGGAGTAAATGAGGGAATATGGCTCACCTAAACAACTGGAAAAATCTTTTTAGGGTTCTGGAGCTATTTCCTTGTTTTTTGTTTTTGTTGACTCTATTATCCTGGGTAGAGTGCTATGGTGTCATAGCTCACAGTGACATCATACTCCTGGGTTCAAGTGATCCTCTTGCCTCCGCCTCCTCAGTAGCAGGGATTACAGGCACCTGCCACAATGCCCAGTTATTTTTATTTTTTTTTTTGAAACAAAGTCTCATTTTTGTTGCCCTTGGTAGAGTGCTGTGGCATCATAGCTCACAGCAACCTCAAACTCTTGGGCTCAAGCGATTCTTTTGCCTTAACCTCCTTATTAGCTGGGACTATAGGTGTCCACCACAACGCCCAGGTATTTTTTTTTTTTTTTTAGCAGGCCCAGGCTGGGTTCCAACACACCAGCCCCCATGCATGTGGCCGGTACCCTAAGCACTGAGCTGCTGGAGCCCAGCCTGCTCTCGAACTATTGACCTCCAGCATATCCACTGGTCTCGGCCTAGTGCTGTGAATATAGGCCTGAGCCGCCATGCTTGGCCCTTGGGGTTTTTTTTGTTGTTGTTGTTTGATTTTATTGTTTTAAGAAACAGGGTCTCACTCTGTGGTTGAGGCTGTTCTCAAGCTCCTGACCTCAAGCAGTGCTCCTGCCTCACTCTTACAAGTGCCAGGATTATAGGAGTGAGCCACTTCACCTGGCTTGGGGCTGTTTCCTTTTGACAGTGTTCCTTTATTTCCAGTTGGAGAGCAGTTACACATTACTGCCATTGTCAAGCCTTGCCCTGCAGGAGTGGTGTCTGGCTTTGTCTCTGGATTGGTCTACTGGGAAAACCGGAAGGTAAGGGCCAGGGTTGATCAGGGGTTTTGAGTCTTTCCTCCCAGGGCCACTTCCTGGTTTCATGCTATAGAGAATTAAAGCCACCTTCTGTTAGCCTTTTCCTTTCATTTTCTTTTCCTTTCCTTCCTTTTCCCCTTCCCCTTCCCTTTTTCCTTTACTTCCCCTCCCTCTCCCCCCTTCCCTCCCCTCCTTCCTTTTTCCTTTCCTCTTCCTCTTCCTTTTCCTTCCTTTCCCTTCCTTGCCTTCCCTTTCCTCACTCCCCTCCCCTTCCCTTTCCCCCTTCCCCTTCCCTCCCTCCCTCTCTCCCTTTGTCTTGCTCTGTCTGTCCTCTCTATTGCCCAGGTAGGGTGCAGTGTTATCATCATAGTTTACTGCAGCCTCTAACTTCTCTTGTCTCAGCCTCCCAAGTAACTGGGACTACAGGCTCCCACCATGCCTGGCTATTTTTTTTTTTTTT